TGTTGTTTCAGTACTTACCAAATGTAAAAACTATGACATATTCAGAAAAATTATAATTATGGTGTCAAAAAATATAGCCTACATTTCCTAAAAAACAAAAGCAAATTTTTGGGCACCTCTCGAGTTAAAATGCTGGTTAAATACTAGTAATTCAGGAGGGTTATGCGACATAGGCTTGGGGGCAATGGACACGGCCCTGGATTTATAAGTATTAAATTTAAGTAAATGGCAAAACTTACCATTAGTTAGTTCTCTTCAATCTTAGTCTTTACTTCGCCCCATCCTCGATCTCCTCTTCCTCTGACACCTCTCCCCTGTATTCTCCAATGTTGGAGGATATTAATTACAACGCCCCCATTTTACTTACTGGTAGGCTTCAGTTCTGTACAGAAATATTGCAAAAAATAGTGTTATACAAATAATTTTAGTCCAACAAATAATACAAGTGTGTACACTCCTTTCTATATTTGCGATATTCAAATAGGTACAGCTAATAGGAAAATGTTTGAGAAAATCTGGGTCAAGTTAGTACAAATATTAGAATTTGTAACAATAATTAGGTTTAGACAAAATAAATTGGTTTAACTTGTTCGCTACCACAATTATATGGAATTTACGTTCGCATAGACCACCGACGCATATTTGCGTCAGCTGATCACATTGAAATAGACTAACGATGCACACTTGCGTCTGTGTTCGATGTTATTAATCAGCGTATTTCTTAGCAACGGTCTATTTTAAAGCCCTGATTTTATCGTATCGGTCTAGAGGGATATCTGCCGCAAATGTGCGTCGCTTGGTCTGTGGATATGACGATTGGTTACGTCACACAACAGTTGGCAACATTGTTGTTTACATCGTGCATTCCGCGACATCTCAGAACAGATGTAAACGTTATAACCTTTGCAGTTTTGGCGAGTGGTGGAGTTTCTTTATTTGTTTGTGTAAAAGCTTGAAACAACCAAATTTACAACGACGCTTAAACGTGTGTCGCCTGGTCTATTGAAACGAAAATGTAGGTAATCTTTTTATCTAGATTTCATTAAATAAACTGACCGACGCATATATGCAGCGTTTTAAAAGTTGCTCCAAACGATAATTAAAAACAATATTTATTGCTTACTAATTCACTTAAGGTTAATATGAAGTCAATTCGTCCATTTAAACGATATTTCTCTTTTGGTCTGTTGGCAATGTTATTCCTATATCACTTGGTCTGTAAGCAACGTCATGATCATTCCTTTTGGTCTGTAGGAGTGACCGGACCAACGCATATGTGCGTCGCTCGGTAGCGAAGGTGTTAAACATTAATTATTTGTTATTTCCCAATTTGCAAAAATGCAAGCTCTAGCCTAATTAAGACATTTCCAAACAACATGTTTCGAGATGTATCCAAATACATTTTAAGTAGGGGCCTAGTTTTAAATTTTTATAAAAAAACTATAAATTTGCATAAAGATTATAATTAATTATCCTTATGTTCCACCAAAAACTATTAATAATAGTTTATTTGTGTAGGTAACTAGTGGGCGAAGTGGCACTTTGCTACACATAAGAGAAATGTTTACGCACGAGCCGTAGGCTAGTGTGGAAAGTTTCTCGAGTGCAGCAAAGGCAGTTTGCACTTGTGTTATACATTATATTTTCCCTAAAGTTACCATAAAACATATAAATAATTAGTTGTTCAAACTCTGTTCAACACTAAATGCAAATGATTCAGTTTGGATCAGTTTCTATGGTTGTCGATAATATGGAACCCGGACCCAAATATGGACAGTAGGCCTAGGACATAAAAATGTTCTTTCCATTTATGATAACCCAACCTAACATAACCGCCGCAAAGCGCTGTATAGCCTATCTGTAGCCTCCGGATAATACTTACCAAAGTACCGATTTGAACATTGAATAACTTAGTTAACAAACATAGCCTATAGTCCTCGCCACCCTAAGTTGAGGCAGCCCAAGGCTGCACAGCGTATATCTAGTGCGGTCTTTGGCTGCCTCAACTTAGGGTGGCGAGGACTATAGAATGTATCACAAAGGGGAAAGAATGTTGACTCACCTCACTTAAGTTATGGTTAGACCAAGTAACATTATCACGGCAAAATGGTAATTGCCTCCAGGGTCCACAACTCTGGTCTCTCTTTCTCTCTCATCTGCAGTGATGTCGATGGCAATGTCGTCCAGAAAGGTTAGTCCTCTTAACTTATTGGTTCAAGACAATATTTAAAATAGAGACCAATTTGGGTTCAGGTCAAATTACAGCCTTTGCTCCAGGATCATCTATAAAATTAACATTGATGTCATCAGCAATGAATTATATAATCCAAGTCTAGTCTTACACCAAATACAAACAGCTCTAGAATATTTGACAGCACATAATTTTACGTCCTACACTCATTCCAATGAATATATTTCTTTAATACTTTCTTACTTATTACTTGGCGACCATACAAAGTAGGTACCATATTTTAAGCCAAGTATGAATGGAAATGAGTGTAGGATCAGGATGAGTGGTGCGATCTTGTAGTCTTGTTAGTGAATAAGGCCGACATTCCTTAGACACAGCTGTTAATTAATAGCCCATACAGCTAATGGCAACTAAGGGACCTACGGTTTATTGTGGAATCCGAACCACATTATTGCCTTGGTATATACGAATTGGTCTAATTATCAGGATAGTACTGCGGATAGTCGTAGTACTCACTCGTGCGGACGTTAATCCACACCAGGGAGTATCGCATCCACATTGCATGCCTATAAATATCCACAATTTGTGACCTCCTACTAGCTGGATTACAGGACGACGCCACCCGTCCCAGTCATATTGATTATTTCATTCAATAAACTTAGGCCTATATCAATTTTGGGTAATGTTAGGGTAAAACTTAACCTAACTAACGGAATGAAATATTCAAAATATTAAATAGTCTTGTATTAATATCTTTCATTTGAATGAATGTAGGACATAAACTAAAGTGCAGCCAAATATTTTTACATAGCCTAAACAAATTCTTAAAGTTGACACTGGGTCAGTGTGAAAAAGAGACAATCCTAATAGCCTAGGGATAATGCCTATTCAAACATTTGCTACAATATTGCTTGATGGTCCAGAATTAGCCTACGAATATCTTAGGTTCTTGTTGGTGACTTACCTAAGTTAGTGTCTGGTAGGACTACTTAATGTTATTAAGTAATCATGTGGATTACGTTTTTTATCCTATAAAAATTAACTTATTTCACATTATTCCTTAAAAACTATTGTTTGTAACACTCGAGTCATCTATTTTCTTGTAAACAAGGAAAGAAATAAGAAAGATAAATATTTACAATATAAAAGTTTATGGCCAGCTTGAAGATGTCCGTCGGAATTCGGAATCAAATATTGCGACTCGTGAGTTGAGGAACTGAACGATGAATTAGAACAACTCCTTTTCAAGAGTAGCTCCGAAGAACGGGTGCTTGTCGATATACTGGGACTATTTCAGTGTCGACAAAATGAAACTATTTCATTGTCGACAATATGGGATGTCGACAATTTGTGGTGTCGATCATTTGCGACGTCGGTTATTTGGGATGTCGGTTAAGTGGGAATATTCCAGTGTCGACAAACTGGGAATAATTCAGTTTCGATCAATTTCTACGGTTGTCGATATTATGGAACCCACCCAGTCCGCTCTCCGTTGTCCGCTCTCCGCTGGCCGACTCCGCGTCTAGGAAAACCCAGCTTAATACCCTATGGTTCAATGCTACGACCTTCTAGTCGAAGGGGGAGGTGCAGATGTCGCGCATGCGCACAAGCTGTCACTGTTGTTATTTTCAAAGTAGCAGTAGCAGTTTTGAGAACCTATTGCGTTACTTCCCGTTCCCGGTCACTACACCTTGTAACGTTGTAACCGTTAACGGAATTGCCACGCATACTCACTCAGTTTGACAGATATTATTTTGGTTTGTTTGTTTTGTTTCCTTTCACAACCTCGAACTTCGAGTTAAGTTTAAAGGTACTAACTTAGACCAAGGATGTGGATGAGTTATGTTAACTTCGATTAATTTTTAATATTGAATGTAAAACTTGTAATTAATGTAACTACTTTCTTCGGCGTAATTTTAGATTATCATATTTACTAAAAGCCATTTAGAAATAGAGAGATTTGAATGATGACAAAGCTGTCCGTAATACTAAAGGGCTATAACAGTGTGTAGGAGAGTGGCTGGGTATAACAGCTAGTGTGGTACGGTTACGGTAATACACATCTATAAAGCACAAAAACTTTTAAATAGGCTAAGTTAAATGCTGCCTTTTTGCCAACGATAATCGAGCCTAGTATTTTAGTTTGTATTTTAAATCTTATTTGTGTAGGTAGGCCTATGTACCTACTCTTACTTTACTTTAGATGAGAATGCGGATCTCATAGCCATAATTTCTAGCCTAGTTTTTGGCTAGGCCTCTATTTGACCTAGGCCTACATTTTAACATTCTCACAGATTAGCGGATAGCTTTGAGGATTTAAGCTATAAAGGGTGTAAAAATGTAAACCAACACATCCTAATTACTATTAGCAAGTAATATCATAGACAAAAAGAATTCTTTTTGTCTATGGTAATATAGGCCTAAACGAAAATAATAATAAAATCCACCACTTGGTTAGCAATATAATTCTAGCCTAGCCCTAGCTAGAAAGAGACCTATGCTTCACGGCTTTAGTGCCAGCCTCATAGCCTGTGGTTTGGAGCACTTTACAAACCTGCAAACAGCTATAACGGTTACACGGTGGCCGTGGAACGGAACCAAAAGTTTACTATTGCTAACAATGCTAACTGTGCAAATAACAGTGACAGCATAGCAGTGCTTGTGCGCATGCGCGACAGCTGCACCTCCCCCTTCGACTAGAAGGTCGTTCAATGCTCTGTCATTCGGTTCTTCAGTCAGTTCAGTTCTCACTCTCTCTCAGTTCTCAGAGTGTTGTCGTTGTTGATGTTGTTGGCTAATTTGTTGTTTGTTGGGTTTGGTTGGAAACAGAACATAACATAATAATAGAGAATAATATCAGAAAGATGGCAAGAAGTTAAAGGTTACAATTAATTGTTTTGTGTAGTTATAGATTAATGTAATATCTCCTAAACTTAATAGTTAGCCTTGATCAAATCAGTTATCTCACAAGTACAACTTGGAAAGTTGAAAGTGAAATACAACTAACCTTAACTAAACAAACATTGAAGTTACTACTTGGTGAATAGTCAATCTATAGGACTACAAATCAGATTAACTTTATAGAAGTAATCAAACTTTAAGAAGATTACCTTGCTCAGCTTGACATGATTTATGAAGGATAACTTACAACTTGGACATTTATATTTGTTGTCACGATAAAATAGGCATAGGCCTAGGTCTAGGCCTAACTTAAGGCCAAATATTGGAAATCCCTTTAATGACAGCGTAGGCCTATAAAGTGAGATTTCAGATTGAAGGAAGTTAAGGTGTTAGAGAAACCAACTTGTGAAAAATTAAATCTTCTAAAAAGGTAAGTCGAAAACCCAACACTGAAATTGAAGTTCAAATTTGGTTAGTTAGGTTAACCGGACCTAACTAACTGAATTAAATAATCGATAGGACTAAGTTATATCATATCGCATAGTCAATAGTATGATAAGTTATTTTCATTCGGTTGTTTTTGGCCCCACTTAGGAAAGTCTACTCCCTATGCCTAATTTAACTTAGGCCTAAGTTTATGTTTCTTATTATCATATTATCTATAATTTGTACCAGTATATTATTTATTATCTTATCATATTATCAGTTGGACCTTGGGAACAACGGGTTGTACAACAATACCATTTTTGCTTGTGAAAATACCTAATTAAATAGAAGTAGCCTACGGTAGTAAGAAAAGTAGATTAACATCATCTAGGTCTCACCAGTTAAGTGAGGCAACCAAAATTTACTTGCACAGCTGCACACCCGTTACCGCTTGTCCCTTGTGACTTTTTTTAGCAAAACTTTCGTGAACGCCTTATTTTAAAAGTACCTACGGTAACATCAAATAATATTATGACTAGCCGCCAATACTTTCCCGTGTCTCGCAACGGGAAGAAAACACTAAAGAGAGTAGCCTAACTTAAGTTTAATCATTCTTTAAAGATCTTCTGTAGGCAATAAAAATGTAAGTTAATCAGACCTAACTCATAAATAAATGTCCACAATTTGGATAAAGTACCAACAGAACTACGTGTCTTATATAAATTTAAGTTAAGCAATCATATTATTAAAAGTAAGCTTATTAAAAATAACATGTAGAGACTTCACAAGCTGTCAGGGCCCTAGAAGTGTCTAGCCTATTCAAATAAAAAAATTACTATAAAATCCATTACAGTAAGCTAATTGTGATACATTGGCTCTATTCATGGACAAATAATTTATAAATAAAAACAACTTTTTATAATTCCCTCGTTTTTTAACGAACTAAAAAGTATAAAATTATTTATAAAAGTGTGGAGAGAATAAAAAAAATTTGGGGTTCATGCAATAGCTAATTTACGACAACTGAAATCTTCACCAATTGAAATATTATCTATGTGAAAAATTCTCTCCACATATTTATAAATTATTTTCTACTTTTTAATTCGTTTAACCCTAGCAGTGGCCAACGATCGTAATACGCTCGTTTGCAGTGACGCCCATCGATGTATAATAACTCTCGATGGTGACGCCTAGAATGGCCACCAGCGTAATACAATAGTATGGGCCAAATTTTTTCAACGGCCAAAAACTGCTTATAATCAACTCTGATGTGAACAATATACCGTACCATTCAAAAGATCACATTCTGAACTTTCATTTTATTATATAAACAAACCCTGTAGCAGGTATATAACAATGTTACTACTATTAGAAATGAAATGAATTTTTGGCGCGGCACGACTTTTGCAGCTGACATTTGGGAACTGTCAAAACACGACTTGTTTGGCATTACCCTGCTCTGGTAATTTTCGTCTTGGGATGTTGCGGGTAGTACCACTGGATAGCCATTGATTCTATCTTAACTGTGGTACTGTATTGATATTTAGAACGAAATATTGATTGCACAACAGGTACGGTTTTATAAAAACCGCTGTTTTTGAAATTTATAACAAATAGGCAACCATCGTTATACGCTAGTACGGAAAATACAAATTACATGTACAGTGTACAGTAAGTTAGTCATATAATATGTCATTTTGAAGAGGAAGAAATTAGCTTGTGATAGTGGCAGCACTGCGCTCAGGGTTATTTCCGTTTTCTCTCAGGAAGATGACGAAAGTGCGTCACTCCTGTCAAGGTCTCATACACAAAGTGCCTTGTATTCGCCATTGCGTGTTGTTGCCGGTGAGTTTTCGCTGTATAAATATAAATATATTAGTATAAATATACAACACAAACTAACACTGTACGGTTTTCAATTTTTCCGGTTCCGGTTCTCCGTTTGTTATTAAATGTTACGCCCACAAAACTTACAAAGAAGAATTATTTTCCCAACATGTTATATATTTCTATGTAGGAAATTAGATTGTCGACTAAATCTATATAATTAATTCCCATCAAAAAATCTGTAAAAAAAATTTTACCCAGACTGCTTTTGAAATTTCAAAAAGAAAATTCTAAATTTATATTTATTCTTTTCACTTTACTGAAAAAAAACTTTCTAAATCATTATTAGCCTATATTACTAGCCTAGCCTATTTCTAGAATCTCCTGTTCTTTCCAAACAATTAAGGAATATGAGGTTGTTGGCTAAGTTTACTCCTACGGTTGAATTTTTACGAATTTTCAATTCGTTTTCAATTCGGCTTCTCTGTTATCTCAGATATTATTTTTGGGGATGACAAACATACAAACACAATACTGTACATTTTTATAAACATTAAAAAGAGGCAGTTAGCTTAATAAGTTGGTTAATTGTGCACTTAAAAATAAAATCTTGTCCTATTGTTTGAATATCAAAAATTTTATTTGAACTTCCTTTGATGTTTTCTCAAATACAGTATATTTGACTTACCTCAAACACAATTGATGTGTTCGTAAATAAACATAACTGTTCCAAAATAAAATTGGAAAAGGTAGGCCTATAGATTTAGCATTTACTTTAGATATTGCATTGCAAGAAGACATCTTATTCATGTGAACCGTACCGTACCATTAACTTTGGATACTGCAAGTATTCATCCCATTGACCCAAACCAGATGTACAATACCATTGACTTCAGATGCTAAAAGTAGACATTCCATTTACTTGAACCAAACGTAGGCCTACCATTGACTATGGATACTGCAAGTAGACATCTAATTAATGTGTACGTACCACGTGTACCATTGACTTAGATACTGCAAGGAGACATCTCATTTACATGAACTGTATTTAGCATTGACTCAATTGAATATTGGATTAATAAGGTTGCTCCGCTCAATATTGCAAGCAGACAGCTGCCTTGTACACCTAGTAATATTATTACATTTTAGTATGATATACTACCTACATTTCCTTTCATTACATATCTATTTGTATAAAATTTCAATAAAGCAACTTGAAACTTTAATTCACTTTAATCTTAAGGGTCATCAACTAGCGCTTTTTGTAAAATTAAACTCAGTAGGATTTAGAAGATACACTTTTTGATTGATATAATTTCGTTGTACAAAAAAATAACATACCATACCTTATTGGCTTTCATAAGTTGGTATGATTTGAACCAACAGTAAGCTAATTAACATATGTCATTATTTTCCAAGTTGTGCCCATGTTTATTATTAATTTAATAATAAACAACATATTCCTTACAACAAAATTTAGGTATCCGTTGAGTTGTTCAGTGAGTTTTGAATCTTCTATCAAACCTAAAAACTTAATTTTACTTTTTCAAATTACAATGTTTGGATTCAATACAAAAGAGATATTTCAACAAAAGATTACTGATTTGGTCCATGTTTTATTTGCTAGTTATATGATTGGTATGGCACTGTTCTACGTCATTAAATGGATTCACCCACATATAAAGAAGCGTGCTGATGCTTATTATAAACAAAAATCTAACGTTAAGCCTAGCTCAAAATACTCCATCGTTTTCAACGAGAGGTGTAAAAATGAGAAAAAAAGAGTGACTTTGAACAGCAAAATTGAAGATGAAATGGTTGGAGATGGAATTTGGAATGAGTTTGAACATTTGAAAACACTTCTGGGAATGGCAGATAATCCCCCAAGGGCTGTTTTTGATTCACTTAGCGAAATGAAAATTAATATGATGAGCGACTCTGAGTTTGAAAATGCACTGAATCTGGGAAACTTCCTTAGGAAACTGAACAAAAGAAATTCTTCCTGTGAAGTGCAAACGAATATAACTATCAATCCAAAAATGAAAATAGACTATTCTTGTCCTGAATTGTTATCTTTTGATCTGATACCAGAAAAAGTCATCAAAACGACAAATTCTTCAGACAGTTTCAAATCTGTAAGCTCCAAGAAGTCGGAAACCCTCAAATCGGAGCTTGAACAAATCATCAGTGAACTTGAGGGCAATGATGATTCACTCCAAAGCCAAATTGATGAGGACAAGATCATACAAAAACTGCAAAACTATTTAAAAAGCAGTCTTGCGAATAGCGATGTCTCCAGCTCTTTTGAACAATCTACAAATCAGGCTCAAGAAAGTAGGTTATTAGAAGTGGCTATAGCAGAGTTTGAAAAAGAACTGAAGCCAATTAAAGAACAGATACAGATTTTAAAAGAGTATTTCAGTGGTGAACTTGCATGTAAACAACCAAACTCAATTGGCCCGTTTAGCGATCTAACTTCATCCTTCACCGAAAGCGGAACATTGTTAGAAAGTGTATCAGGAACTACAACTAGTAGCACTGGCTCGCACAGTTTTTTCTCTTCTTATCATATTATTTCAGCCACTAGTTTTGGATCCGTGGATAAAAATTCGAAGTGTGACATTAAATTAGAAAAAACTACTCCAACAACTTTTAGAAACATACATAAAACTAAGCAATACCATAAACTATCCTCATTTAAAGGAACTTCAAATTTGAAAGAAATTCCCAAATCTCCTGAAAAACACAAGTCCAAGAAAAGATCTCCGATAGCAGAAATGTACGTTAAACTTTCTCAATGCAAATCTCAGACTTCATCCATGGTTAGAAATAAAAGAGAGAAAGTAACATCCAATGATGCTGGAGTTACATACCGCATTGATTTGAATGTTAACTTGACTGGAGCTAATACTTCAAAATGTCAAAAGTCAAAACCACTGAAGGAAAGAACAATACAACCATTGACTTCTGATCCAGATGAAATCCTGGGGAAACCATCCGATACACATATTTGTCTGCGACCAACAATCAAATAAATTAGGCGTGTCAAACCTATGCTTTACTTTTAAAACTTTTTGAAAATTCTGACCGTAGGCCTACCTATTGGTTTAAAATCATATTTTGTAGGGTTTGAAAAGGCTTCATATTGGTACATTGTAATTTTAAACTTTATGAATA